ATATGTGTATATATACACACGTACATCCTTTGGACTTTACCGTCCCAGCCAGCCAACAAACCTTTTTATAGTGTGATATAAACTAACATAACTGATTACTAATCTATTATATAATTACAATACCCCCCCTCCGCCTCTGATCTCTGCACCTGATTGGGTTAAATGATGACGCCACCCTGCTGCTCTATTTAAGACTGGGAGTAAGCGAGGGCTTCACTATTCTGGCAAATCGCTCGATGATGCTGGATGTAATTACCAGCGAAACGTCGTACTCAAAAATTGTAAATGTTGTGGATTCACTCTTCAACACACCGGTGGGCTAAAGTAGTGAACTATTTGTCTTTTGTCAACGTGACACTTTTTTTTACTGATTGGCCGTGTCGGGTGGTGGAGGGTTGCGACACATTTACAAATAACGCGATCTAACCCAAAAACATTTATTATGAATAACATATTTCCGCTCCCCCCTCCCCACCACCGCGGTCCATGTTTAACATTTTTTAAATGTTTGAAAAATATTAGCACCGGCTGGTGCAATGTATTGAATGAATGTTCGCCTTCCGTAAGCGCGAAGGAATTTTGCGTGTGGTTGCTTGTGAACCTTCAAACTTCCCTATTTGGCACCGTGCAGAGCGAGAGCGTCTTTCTGGTGAGGATGCGCAGGACACTTAAGACGCATTGCCATGTCGCGCCGGTTTAAAATATTGTTATATATTTTTTAATTTACAAGACTCGACTAGACGAGGAATATCGTAGGCCAAGATTCCACACCCCATAGCTCGGCTCCGTGCATTCCTCGCGTAACACACAGGCCACGCACAAGACATCGTGTCACCGCCCAACCTGAATTATATTCCCCCCCCCCCCAAAATGTTTCCATTGAAATATTTTGTGTGTATTCATTATTAACGATACATTTTTGTTCCGGGCAGCCAAAATAATTATTGGTGTCGTGTCACCAAACGAAGCGCCCGCTCGGAGCTTTCGCAGAGCACTGCGAGAATGGCTCGCGGAAGCGGGTATCACGGAGCCACCTCTGAGATGCCTTCTTCTTTAGAAGCGACGCTCCGTTCCGCACGGTTAGGGACATCATTCTTGCCGTGCTATTGGACGAATAATTATAATCTCCCGAAGAGAGCAGTGTGCGATCCTCTTGTTTGCCAACGGCACGTGGAAGCGGATAACGTAAAGCTACCAGAGGTACTTTCACGTGACCTTCGATCCACACAGAAGGGACACCAAATTACAATTATTTGTGATTGATATCGCAGCGCTTCTATACGCCAGGGCATATCAAGAGAGCTTTACGTGTCATCTCCAACGCATTAGAAAGGGAACCCCCAGTGTCAGCTGTCCCTGTGTGGCACAAAGCAACTCAGCACCTGGCCTACATGCGGGATACTAGTCTTCCAGTAAGGGGCGATTAACGCTAAGCAGTCTAGTGTATGGGCACCCCCAGAGGTAGCTGTCCCTCTGCGGCACAAAGTAACTCAGTACCTGACCTATATGCAGACCATAGTCTGCCAGTAGGGGGCGACGATTTCTCCTGTGTGTGTGTGCAATCCCGATTGAGTAATTCAGTTTTCGGTGTAATTTTTTTATTTTGGCAAATGTGGACCAATTCGAATGACTTCAGAGGATCTATAACATCCACTGTGAGTGAAATAAACGACGTGTCGTTTTTTGATAGTTAATGCCACACCGCAATATTAATCAGGGCAGCCGGCCGGATTCAAACCTCAAATCTCTGAAACAAGCGGCCAACACGCTAACGTTGGGCCCATTGTAAAAGCTGCGCAAGTGTTCGCAAACGCAGTTGCCACCTGCTGGCCATTGCCGATGCAGTCGTAACCCACTACGGTACATAGTTTAGTACATACAGTGAGGGGAAAAAAGTATTTGATCCCCTGCTGATTTTATACGTTTGCCCACTGACAAAGAAATGATCAGTCTATAATTTTAATGGTAGGTTTATTTGAGAGACAGAATAACAACAAAAAAATCCAGAAAAACGCATGTCAAAAATGTTATAAATTGATTTGCATTTTAATTAGGGAAATAAGTATTTGATCCCCTCTCAATCAAAAATATTTCTGGCTCCCAGGTGTCTTTCATACAGGTAACGAGCTGAGATTAGGAGCACACTTTTAAAGGGAGTGCTCCTAATCTCAGCTTGTTACCTATATAAAAGACACCTTTCCACAGAAGCAATCAATCAGATTCCAAACTCTCTACCATGGCCAAGACCAAAGAGCTCTCCAAGAATGTCAGGGACAAGATTGTAGACATACACAAGGCTGGAATGGGCTACAAGACCATTGCCAAGCAGCTTGGTGAGGTGACAACAGTTGGTGCGATTATTCGCAAATGGAAGAAACACAAAAGAACTGTCAATCTCCCTCGGCCTGGGGCTCCATGCAAGATCTCACCTCGTGGAGTTGCAATGATCATGAGAACGGTGAGGAATCAGCCCAGAATAACACGGGAGGATCTTGTCAATGATCTCAAGGCAGCTGGGACCATAGTCACCAAGAAAAATTGGTAACACACTACGCCGTGAAGGACTGAAATGCTGCGGCGCCCGCAAGATCCCCCTGCTCAAGAAAGCACATATACATGCCCGTCTGAAGTTTGCCAATGAACATCTGAATGATTCAGAGGACAACTGGGTGAAAGTGTTGTGGTCAGATGAGACCAAAATGGAGCTCTTTGGCATCAACTCAACTCGCCGTGGTTGGAGGAGGAATGCTGCCTATGACCCCAAGAACACCATCCCCGTCAAACATGTAGGTGGAAACATGCTTTGGGGGTGTTTTTCTGCTAAGGGGACAGGACAACTTCACCGCATCAAAGGGACGAATCTTGGGTGAGAACCTCCTTCCCTCAGCTAGGGCATTGAAAATGGGTCGTGGATGGGTATTCCAGCATGACAAGGACCCAAAACACACGGCCAAGGCAACAAAGGAGTGGCTCAAGAAGAAGCACATTAAGGTCCTGGAGTGGCCTAGCCAGTCTCCAGACCTTAATCCCATAAAAAATCGGTGGAGGGAGCTGAAGGTTCGAGTTGCCAAACGTCAGCCTCGAAACCTTAATGACTTGGAGAAGATCTGCAAAGAGGAGTGGGACAAAATCCCTCCTGAGATGTGTGAAAACCTGGTGGCCAACTACAAGAAACGTCTGACCTCTGTGATTGCCAACAAGGGTTTTGCCACCAAGTACTAAGTCATCTTTTGCAGAGGGGTCAAATACTTATTTCCCTCATTAAAATGCAAATCAATTTACAACATTTTTGACATGCGTTTTTCTGGATTTTGTTGTTGTTATTCTATCACTGTTCAAATAAACCTACCATTAAAATTATAGACTGATCATTTCTTTGTCAGTGGGCAAACGTGCAAAATCAGCAGGGGATCAAATACTTGTTTCCCTCACTGCATGAAGAGTTAGAGACTGGTTACGCACTAGTTTATTTTTCAACCCACAACCACACTCGTTCCTAAAACCAACCCCGAAACCGCGTCTCGCAGCCCATTTCAAACCCTCAACCTCCGTCTCGCACGCAGAGTCCGTGTCACGTCAGTGCCCTTTAACCCTTGACCCCGTCCAGTGTGTTCCCGTGCGTGTGATTGCTGTGTGCGATGCCGAGTGCGGAGATTTCATATCTGCGTGAAGTTTATTACACGTCCGCTTTCGCGACCAATATTATCCACAAGAGGTGTTTGGGTTAGATCGCATGAACGTCGTTAAAACGAAGTGTAAATGTTCTTGGTTTACTCTCCAACACACCGGTGTGCTGTACTAGTGTACTAGTAACGAATTGGCATGTTTTGTTTACGAGACAAACCTTACTAATTGGCTGTCGGGTGATGGCGGGTTTAACATCTATATTTACATAATCCAACTCAAAAAACCTCTTATGGACAGTACGTAGTATTCGTCGTGGAAATTCCATATTTTTATGACGAAGGCCAGACGGACAATCCATATAGGAAGGCTGTTGTAACTTAATTAAAAATATATATCATGGGACCTTTTTTTGCCAGTATCAGAGTATTAAAATAACAATAGGTTTTACCCTTTATGGCAATAAAACAGGTGTCAAGATGTTCAAACACCAAATTGATACCTTTTGATTCCTTGCAAAACAGCATATATTTGGCGTTTGAACATTTCAACATGTTCAATTGCCAGAAATGGGAAAAACCTATTATTTTTCTTGACAATAATAGCCCGATTATCCCGGCTCTTTGCCCAATTGCGCAAGTACGACCGAGGGAGTTGAGGTGGCAGGCGTGAGGGGCGCCCCGCACTGCGCACCCGCGCACAATGGAGAGGGTGGGAGGTGTGGGATGGTGGCTGGACCGGCCACTGGACAGCACGGAGAGATCATCAGGGTCCAGCGTGTGAACAGCGAGCTCCTTTCCTTTCCAACAATTCCCGAAAAAAAACGCGGCACACCAGCTGCGCGAGGCGCTGGATCAGAGAATACGCCACAAAGTTCGACGCAACACGTTGACTTTAAAAATGGGCCTGGGCAGGACACACCACTGGAAAGGGATGGCCTGCGGTCGAGACCTAACAGGGCGACAGCAAAAAAAAATACCCCCCCACCCCCCGAGACGTCCAACGGTGAGATGCAGAACTTCTTTCGCACCGTAATATCGGTGCACGATGGATCGTTGTATTTGCAGGATCGTTATGTGCCAACTTGGGGAGGCCTTTAACCACAAAGACTGATGAGTATATTGCAATAATACACATTTGTAAGGCACATTTCATCCGTAGATTCCAATGTGCCACCGTGTATGGAACGCCGGAAATAAACAGAACCAGGGAATTTGGCCAGAATAAGGGGGTAGAAGGCCAATGTAAAGATGTAGATCAAGGCTGATGATGCTGGGATGAGTCAAGGGCAGATGGTAATTTATCTTACAACCTTGCGATTACCGATTGACCGATCACCTAAAAGTGGCTCAAAAAAATTTACGACAAGACACCCGAGCGTTCAACACAAATACTTTATACACAATACGCAGCAACACCAGACTTCATACTGTACAGCGGAATGGCCAAACTGTCCGTTAGCAATAAAATCGCAGCGACTCACTAAATCCGCTTCGGACGACTGCCCCTACTGGGCGAGGGACAATCGGGGGGGAGGGGGGGGGGGCAGGGGAGCACGAGACTAAACAAAAAAAGGGGGCAGACAAAGCGGTCGGGCGCACGCACAGATTGGAAGGTGCACGCACGAACGGGATGGTGCACGCACGGAAAGGCGGGCGGGATGGGCGAGAGGGTGAGCGACGTGAAACTAAGCAGCGGCGACAGCGGTTGGTTGGATTTTTTTGTTTGTTCTCTCTTCCCCTCGCTTGGAAATTCGCTACCGTTTTTTGAAGGAGGCCTGCGTGTTAGGAGTGGTGGCATGCACGCGAGCTCCCTGCGCGCGACTATAACTGGGTCAAGCGCCAGCTCGCCAACACAAGGGTGGCGCGGTGGTGGTGGCGGCGCCCCCCCCCCCCCCCTTCCCCCACCGAGGGATGGGGGACCCTCGTCATTTGACCAGTGGCCGATTCTTGTCATCGTCCCCGCACTGGTGTGCTTTGTATTTCTTCACCTCGGCCATGTATTTGGCCCACGTGTCGCCCTTCTGCGCCGCCTCCTCCTGCGAGAATTGGAGGGGGGGGGGGGGGGGGCACACAGACGCTTTCCCACGTTAGCGCCACTGGCGCGCTTGCTCCCACGCGCGGGGCCGTATGGGGCGAGTGGGCGAGGAAGGAAAATCGTGCGCGCGCCCAAAATTTCATCAAGGCTTCCGAACAAGCTTTCGTGCTCGGAAGTTTTTTAGTTAGCGCTGATGATGGGAGTGCTTTCTCGGGCCAGGCGCGCAGGAAGCAATGCGTTCATAGGCAGTGATGAGGAAACCACGGGGCTTTGATAGCGGACCTGCCGGAGAGAGTGAGCGATTCTCTGCTAATGGGGCAAGGATGCCAAGGTGGGTCTCCTTTTAATACTGGTTTTGGGGCAACGGGTGGATACATTTCACTGGTTTTCTATAGGGCAAGTCCCAAATTGTAACATAACTTTATACAAAAAATGTTATTATATTGGATAATCTTATCCAATATATTACAAAATCTTATCAAATATAATCCAGATGGATAAAATAGACCAGTGAACTTTGCCAGTAGGGCTTCAGATTTTCGAAAAGAGAATTTTGGACTGACACTTCTTTCATCTCAACGACACAAACTGGAATATTGACTTCACCTTATGATAAAGGTCAACCAGCGCGTAACAATTTTAAATAAAATGAAAGGGGCCTCAATCCGTGAGTGGCTGAGCCCTCCACGCCGACTCTGCCACCGCGCCCAACATACCTCCTCGTCTATCTTGTGCTTCTTGGCCACCATGCCCGTCTTGAGGACTTTCCCACCTCGTCGTCGCCCAATCTAATGACGAAGAGGGTGGGTGGGGAGGAGGGTGGGGGGGGGGACAGGGGTGGCCAGAAGGGAAGGCGAGGGGGGAGGGGGATAGGTGGGTCACGGGGAAGAAGATGGGGGCATGGGCGGGTAAGGAAGGGGGGGAGAGGGAGAAGACTAACAAGCGTTACGAGCGCTCGGCGAGATCGTCCACGAGCGACAAGAGTTCGCCCGCGCGGCGCCGCCAACTGCCGGTGCCTCCATCAGGTCCGGGGGAGGGTCTCCTCCCTGTCGAACCACACACAAGAGAGACAGGGCAAGCGCGTAACCACTACGGGAGGGGGGGGGGGCCCACCACGTGGCCTTACCCAGGCCGGGTCTCACACCGGTCACACAACCAAATCGCTCACGACAACCAGCCAACTCACCGGCGCCCGCAGGCGGGGTTTGCCCACATACCCGTGGGGCGAGTTGGCTGCACGACCTAATTGCGCAATTGATATTCGGGCGAGCATTCGCACGAGAAAATTAAATTGTCGTAATCAGGATGGCAGCAAGCAAGCACGTCATGAAATACGTCATGAGCAAATCGCTTTGCAGATGTCTTTTCAGCAGACTCCGTCTCTACAATTACTTGCAACTGGTTGCAGAGAAGTCCACGTATAAAGTGATTTAGTTGCATGCAACCGATAGCTCAGATTTGGACCCTGCTTTACTGGCCGAAAGGTGGGAGGGGGCCCACGATGGCAAATGGAAGCAGCAGCATAGGATCACTGGCGTGCAGTCAACACGTTAGAATGCTTTCAAGAGCGTGACCACACACGCTAAGTGTGTGCCAGATAAAACGTCGACGTCTTTATTTCCAATTACGCACATTTGGCATCGAACATTCACCCATCCAGTTGTTTTTAAGAAAAAAATATTTTAAGTCGGGGGAATTTCGACCTCCGACACACAGCATGGGGAACACGCTCGTTACTGCATGCACATGTCCACGATACACGTGTACACAACGCACGCACACACACATATCGATATAGTGCATATATCCAGCCAGGTAGCTCAGCAATATATTATTACCCCTTCGTGGGGAAGTCAAAGTTGGTCGTCTTATGGAAGCTGAACACTGCCAACGCTATATGAAGCAGGAAGTCACTGACTTTGTAGGGTTATAACGCTGTAACATCGTCTTTGCTTCTCGTCAAAGCCATGCGGTTATACCAAAGCTGTGACTTTTAGGAAAATAAGAAAAAATGGCTTCAAAGCATCACATTCACGAATTGCATTTTTTTACCAAAAAACCCTCTCATGCATTTTACATTTCAACCATGAACACATGCAATGCGCTCCAGTTGGCCAAGGATGACTGGGAACGTCGGCTTGCCTTCACACACATTGCGTTTGCATTAAGAAATGAGCCCACTTCAAATCAATTCACAACCCTTTCTCAACCCACTTCTCGATCAAAGCTCCCCCCCCCACGCCACGTCGATCATGGGGGGGGGGGGGGGCTGTTGGACAATATTTCGCCACACTGGTCAAACAATGCAGGTGAGCGCAGGGGCGCCACGGTGGTGAGACGTTAACTCGCCTGGTACATACTGTCACAGGTCATGCGCTCGATCCCGACGCCTGTATATCTGGAGTTTGCATGTTCTCGCCACGATCTCGTGTATTTTTTTCTCTGGCTCTTCCACCCATGATTTAGAAATATGCATTTTGGAGTATTTGGACCCTTAAAATTTTCAGAAGCCACTTCGCTGAATTTATCATTTGTGGCTATGTCGCTTCTGAAAAAGCTCTCTGGGTCTTACCTGGTAAAATAAAAAATATATATATCGTTTTTAGGTTGTTCAATAGCTGATTATGGGAATGACATATGGTGATGATGGCATACCTGTCAACCCCTTATCAGTGCCTACTTTATTACTGACCAAATCATACTTCAACGTTCATCCTACAAAGTCCCATCACAAGGGAGAAACAACAAAGCCAAAAACATGTTTTTTTTTGCCCCTATTGAAACGTCTGTATGCCGTATGGACCTGAAAACTCTATTTCCCCGTACAAGAATACGCGTAAACCGTATGTCTTGACATGTATTTGATGATGGCAATGACGATGGTCGTGACGTTGGTCATGATTACGGCGATTATCATGATGATCGTGATGAGCAATGTGGACCCCCGATTCAAGCCGACGTGCCACAACTCATCCTGGCGATTGGGAAGCGAGGGGTGCCCTTTCTTGTCGGCACACCGAAAAAAAAGCGGACGACCCGGTATCCCCCATGGCAAGGGGTTCGAGTTGTCAGGCGCCAGTGCTCCACTCTAAATCATTCACAATCGGATCTCTCCTCCTGAATGCGACCAATTGAGATAAAAAAGCGTGAAATTATGGCCCCCGTGACCAGTCGCTCGCTTTTGTTTCATTTAAACGGCAACGCCGCGAACGTGTTTCGCTGCCGTGCTCTACGGCGTATTGTTTGGAATAATGTTCGACGTTTCACTCCACAGTCCTGGGTGCTGTTTCGGTCACCGCATCTCCCGAGCACGTGTGCTGCGCGAACTGAAGTTCCTTAAGAGAGAGCTTCAGTGGGATAATCATTCGTGTAATCGCAGTAACTTTTTGCTGCGCGTGGAAAATACGTCAAACCGATTGGGGCTGTAAATTCCTAAAGAAATAATGTGTCCACCTTTTCTTTGCAAAGGGAGAAACACTCGTAAATGTTCCACGCCGTCAGCCGCGGTTTGTTCTCCTTCTCCGCACCTCCGATATGCACGGCTGGCTACGTACGGCGCCAAAGAAGTTCAACATGCGTACCCAGAATTACTTTAAATGGATACGTCGGGGTTTTTTTAATTCATTTAAATGGCACGACACTGACGGAGACGCAAGAAGAACCCTTAAATAACCCCATGAAACGGGAATGCAACTTGATTGGAGAAAACCCCTTAAAGTGTTCCCATTACACTGGATGTCAACTGAAGGGAACCCCTTAACGCGGATTTCACACAGCCGGACATCAAATCACCAACAACATGAAGACCCATACAAGCTCGATCGCCTCTTAAACTCCTCTCTCTCTCTCTTGCGTCTACTCTCCGCCATCCGCGACATCCTTACAAGGCCGAACATCTGCCTTTTCTTCTCTTCGGCCGGGCCGGGCTCCGAATTTAGTTTCACCGGGGCTCCCTCGCCCTCGGCCGGGCCGGGCGCCAGGCAAGGCGCGGGAGGCGGCGGCCTAGTGGAAGAGGCCGCATCGTCGTCGTCGTCGCCGTCGCCGCCGCAGTCGTCGTGTTGGGCGGCGGCGTCGCCCGCGAGTCTCCTCGCCTCCTGCTCCTCCTCCATCTTCTTCTTGAACATCTCGAGGAAGCTGCCGTCGTTGGCGAACGCGTTCACGCTGCCCGCCGAAGACGACGAAGACGCCGGACCCCGCGAAGACCTGGACGATTCGCCCGCCATCTTGGTCCGGTGTCGCTTTCGGAACCTTTTGGGGGTGGAGGTGTGTGGTGGTGGTGGTGGGGGGGTTGCACGGAGGGAATCGATCATTTTTTTACGATTATCGAAATAAAAAACGATTCTTACGTTCGCGGTGCTGGAGTCGAATCGGTAATGTTAAGTGTGCAGTTTCGATTCGTACGACGTGTTGGGATGAATGCGGCTGAGCAACGGAGGGGACCGGAGGCAGTACAGACGAAGCACGTGGTGCAGCAGTACAGACGAGACACGCTGTGCAGCAGTACAGACGAAGCACGTGGTGCAGCAGTACAGACGAGACACGTGGTGCAACAGTACAGACGAGACACGTGGTGCAGCAGTACAGACGAGGCACGTTGTGCAGCAGTACGGACGAGGCACGCTGTGCAGCAGTACGGACGAAGCACGTGGTGCAGCAGTACGGACGAGGCACGTCGTGCAGCAGTACGGACGAGGCACGCTGTGCAGCAGTACAGACGAGACACGTTGTGCAGCAGTACAGACGAGGCACGCGGTGCAGCAGTACAGACGAGGCACGTGGTGCAGCAGTACGGACGAGGCACGTTGTGCAGCAGTACGGACGAGGCACGCTGTACAGCAGTACAGACAAAGCACGTGGTGCAGCAGTACGGACGAGGCACGTTGTGCAGCAGTACGGACGAAGCACGTGGTGCAGCAGTACGGACGAGGCACGTGGTGCAGCAGTACGGACGAGGCACGCTGTGCAGCAGTACAGACAAAGCACGTGGTGCAGCAGTACGGACGAGGCACGTTGTGCAGCAGTACGGACGAGGCACGCTGTGCAGCAGTACGGACGAAGCACGTGGTGCAACAGTACGGACGAGGCACGTGGTGCAGCAGTACGGACGAGGCACGCTGTGCAGCAGTACAGACGAGACACGTCGTGCAGCAGTACAGACGAGGCACGCGGTGCAGCAGTACAGACGAGGCACGTGGTGCAGCAGTGCAGACGAGGCACGCGGTGCAGCAGTACAGACGAGGCACGTGGTGCAGCAGTACAGACGAGGCACGTGGTGGAGCAGTACAGACGAAGCACGTTGTGCAGCAGTACGGACGAGGCACGTCGTGCAGCAGTACGGACGAGGCACGTTGTGCAGCAGTACGGACGAGGCACGCAGTGCAGCAGTACGGACGAGGCACGCGGTGCAGCAGTACAAACGAGACACGTGGTGCAGCAGTACAGACGAGGCACGTGGTGCAGCAGTACAGACGAGGCACGCGGTGCAGCAGTACAGACGAGGCACGTGGTGCAGCAGTACGGACGAGGCACGCTGTGCAGCAGTACGGACGAGGCACGCGGTGCAGCAGTACAAACGAGACACGTGGTGCAGCAGTACAGACGAGGCACGTGGTGCAGCAGTACAGACGAGGCACGCGGTGCAGCAGTACAGACGAGACACGCGGTGCAGCAGTACAGACGAGGCACGCGGTGCAGCAGTGCAGACGAGGCACGTGGTGCAGCAGTACAGACGAGGCACGTGGTGCAGCAGTACAGACGAGACACGTGGTGCAGCAGTACAGACAAGACACGTGGTGCAGCAGTACAGACGAGGCACGTGGTGCAGCAGTACAGACGAGGCACGTGGTGCAGCAGTACAGACGAGGCACGTGGTGCAGCAGTACAGACGGGGCACGTGGTGCAGCAGTACAGACGAGGCACGTGGTGCAGCAGTGCAGACGAGGCACGTGGTGCAGCAGTACAGACGAGACACGCAGTACAGAAGAATCGGTGTGTGCAGAGACGCAGATTGTACACACGTAAACAGGACGTGTGTGCAAACGAGGCAGAACCAATTATAATATTACTACATACAAGACTACAGACAGTACTAACTAGACAGTACATAGTGACTACAGACAGTACTAACTAGACAGTCAATATACAGTACATACGTGACTACAGAGAGCACTAACTAGACAGTAAATAGACAGTACATACGTGACTACAGACAGTACTAACTAGACAGTCAATAGACGATACATACGTGACTACAGACGGTACTAGACAGTCAATAGACAGTACATACGTGACTACAGACAGTACTAACTAGACAGTCAATAGACAGTACATACGTGACTACAGACAGTACTAACTAGACAGTCAATATACAGTACATACGTGACTACAGACAGTACTAACTAGACAGCCAATAGACAGTACATAGTGACTACAGACAGTACTAACTAGACAGTCATTAGACAGTACATACGTGACTACAGACAGTACTAACTAGACAGTCAATAGACAGTACATACGTGACTACAGACAGTAATAACTAGACAGTAAATAGACAGTACATACGTGACTACAGACAGCACTAACTAGACAGTCAATAGACAGTACATACGTGACTACAGACAGTAATAACTAGACAGTAAATAGACAGTACATACGTGACTACAGACAGTACTAACTAGACAGTAAATAGACAGTACATACGTGACTACAGACAGTACTAACTAGACAGTCAATAGACAGTACATACGTGACTACAGACAGTACTAACTAGACAGCCAATAGACAGTACATACGTGACTACAGACAGTACTAACTAGACAGTACATAGACAGTACATACGTGACTACAGACAGTACTAACTAGACAGTCAATAGACAGTACATACGTGACTACAGACAGTAATAACTAGACAGTCAATAGACAGTACATACGTGACTACAGACAGTACTAACTAGACAGTCAATAGTACATACGTGACTACAGACAGTACTAACTAGAGTACTAGACAGTCAATAGACAGTACATACGTGACTACAGACAGTACTAACTAGACAGTCAATAGACAGTGCATAGTGACTACAGACAGCACTAACTAGACAGTCAATAGACAGTACATACGTGACTACAGACAGTACTAACTAGACAGTCAATAGTACATAGTGACTACAGATAGTACTAACTAGACAGTCAATAGACAGTACATACGTGACTACAGATAGTACTAACTAGACAGTCAATAGACAGTACATACGTGACTACAGACAGTACTAACTAGACAGTCAATAGACAGTACATACGTGGCTACAGACAGTACTAACTAAACAGTCAATAGACAGTACATACGTGACTACAGACAGTACTAACTAAACAGTCAATAGTACATAGTGACTACAGATAGTACTAACTAGACAGTCAATAGACAGTACATACGTGACTACAGACAGCACTAACTAGACAGTCAATAGACAGTACATACGTGACTACAGACAGTACTAACTAGACAGTCAATAGTACATACGTGACTGCAGACAGTACTAACTAGACAGTCAATAGACAGTACATACGTGACTACAGACAGTACTAACTAGACAGTTAATAGACAGTACATACGTGACTACAGACAGTACTAACTAGACAGTCAATATACAGTACATACGTAACTACAGACAGTACTAACCAAACAGTCAATAGACAGTACATACGTGACTACAGACAGTACTAACTAGACAGTCAATAGTACATAGTGACTACAGATAGTACTAACTAGACAGTCAATAGACAGTACATACGTGACTACAGACAGCACTAACTAGACAGTCAATAGACAGTACATACGTGACTACAGACAGTACTAACTAGACAGTCAATAGACAGTACATAGTGACTACAGACAGCACTAACTAGACAGTCAATAGACAGTACATAGTGACTACAGACAGTACTAACTAGACAGTCAATAGACAGTACATACGTGACTACAGACAGTAATAACTAGACAGTCAATAGACAGTACATACGTGACTACAGACAGTACTAACTAGACAGTCAATAGTACATACGTGACTACAGACAGTACTAACTAGAGTACTAGACAGTCAATAGACAGTACATACGTGACTACAGACAGTACTAACTAGACAGTCAATAGACAGTGCATAGTGACTACAGACAGCACTTACTAGACAGTCAATAGACAGTACATACGTGACTACAGACAGTACTAACTAGACAGTCAATAGTACATAGTGACTACAGATAGTACTAACTAGACAGTCAATAGACAGTACATACGTGACTACAGATAGTACTAACAGTCAATAGACAGTACATACGTGACTACAGACAGTACTAACTAGACAGTCAATAGACAGTACATACGTGACTACAGACAGCACTAACTAGACAGTCAATAGTACATAGTGACTACAGATAGTACTAACTAAACAGTCAATAGACAGTACATACGTGACTACAGATAGTACTAACTAGACAGTCAATAGACAGTACATACGTGACTACAGACAGTACTAACTAGAGTTACTAGACAGTCAATAGACAGTACATACGTGACTACAGACAGTACTAACTAGAGTTACTAGACAGTCAATAGACAGTACATACGTGACTACAGACAGTACTAACTAAACAGTCAATAGACAGTACATACGTGACTACAGACATTACTAACTAGACAGTCAATAGACAGTACATACGTGACTACAGACTACTAACTAGACAGTCAATATACAGTACATACGTGACTACAGACAGCACTAACTAGACAGTAAATAGACAGTACATACGTGACTACAGACAGTACTAACTAGAGTTACTAGACAGTCAATAGACAGTACATACGTGACTACAGACAGTACTAACTAAACAGTCAATAGACAGTACATACGTGACTACAGACAGTACTAACTAAACAGTCAATAGACAGTACATACGTGACTACAGACAGTACTAACTAAACAGTCAATAGTACATAGTGACTACAGATAGTACTAACTAGACAGTCAATAGACAGTACATACGTGACTACAGACAGCACTAACTAGACAGTCAATAGACAGTACATACGTGACTACAGACAGTACTAACTAGACAGTCAATAGACAGTACATACGTGACTGCAGACAGTACTAACTAGACAGTCAATAGACAGTACATACGTGACTACAGACAGTACTAACTAGACAGTTAATAGACAGTACATACGTGACTACAGACAGTACTAACTAGACAGTCAATATACAGTACATACGTAACTACAGACAGTACTAACCAAACAGTCAATAGACAGTACATACGTGACTACAGACAGTACTAACTAGACAGTCAATAGTACATAGTGACTACAGATAGTACTAACTAGACAGTCAATAGACAGTACATACGTGACTACAGACAGCACTAACTAGACAGTCAATAGACAGTACATACGTGACTACAGACAGTACTAACTAGACAGTCAATAGACAGTACATAGTGACTACAGACAGCACTAACTAGACAGTCAATAGACAGTACATAGTGACTACAGACAGTACTAACTAGACAGTCAATAGACAGTACATAGTGACTACAGACAGCACTAACTAGACAGTCAATAGACAGTACATACGTGACTACAGACAGTACTAACTAGACAGTCAATAGACAGTACATACGTGACTATAGACAGCACTAACTAGACAGTAAATAGACAGTACATACGTGACTACAGACAGTACTAACTAGACAGTCAATAGTACATAGTGACTACAGATAGTACTAACTAGACAGTCAATAGACAGTACATACGAGCCTACAGACAGTACTAACTAGACAGTCAATAGACAGTACATACGAGACTACAGACAGTACTAACTAAACAGTCAATAGACAGTACATACGTGACTACAGACAGTACTAACTAGACAGTCAATAGTACATAGTGACTACAGACAGTACTAACTAGACAGTCAATAGACAGTACTAACTAGACAGTCAATAGACAGTACATAGTGACTACAGATAGTACTAACTAGACAGTCAATAGACAGTACATACGTGACTATAGACAGTACTAACTAGACAGTCAATAGTACATAGTGACTACAGATAGTACTAACTAGACAGTCAATAGACAGTACATACGTGACTACAGACAGCACTAACTAAACAGTCAATAGACAGTACATACGTGACTACAGACAGTACTAACTAAACAGTCAATAGACAGTACATACGTGACTAAGAACAGTACTAACTAGACAGTCAATAGACAGTACATACGTGACTACAGATAGTACTAACTAGACAGTCAATAGACAGTACATACGTGACTACAGACAGCACTAACTAGACAGTCAATAGACAGTACATACGTGACTACAGACAGTACTAACTAGACAGTCAATAGACAGTACATACGTGACTACAGACAGTACTAACTAGACAGTCAATAGACAGTACATACGTGACTACAGACAGTACTAACTAGACAGTAAATTGACAGTACATACGTGACTACAGACAGTACTAACTAGACAGTCAATATACAGTACATACGTAACTACAGACAGTACTAACTAAACAGTCAATAGACAGTACATACGTGACTACAGACAGTACTAACTAGACAGTCAATAGTACATAGTGACTACAGATAGTACTAACTAGACAGTCAATAGACAGTACATACGTGACTACAGACAGCACTAACTAGACAGTCAATAGACAGTACATACGTGACTACAGACAGTACTAACTAGACAGTCAATAGACAGTACATAGTGACTACAGACAGCACTAACTAGACAGTCAATAGACAGTACATAGTGACTACAGACAGTACTAACTAGACAGTCAATAGACAGTACATACGAGCCTACAGACAGTACTAACTAGACAGTCAATAGACAGTACATACGAGACTACAGACAGTACTAACTAAACAGTCAATAGACAGTACATAGTGACTACAGACAGTACTAACTAGACAGTACATAGACAGTACATACGTAACTACAGACAGTACTAACTAGGCAGTCAATAGACAGTACATACGTAACTACAGACAGTACTAACTAGACAGTCAATAGACAGTACATACGTGACTACAGACAGTACTAACTAGACAGTCAATAGACAGTACATACGTGACTACAGATAGTACTAACTAGACAGTCAATAGACAGTACATACGTGACTACAGACAGTACTAACTAGACAGTCAATATACAGTACATACGTGACTACAGACAGCACTAACTAGACAGTAAATAGACAGTACATACGTGACTACAGACTACTAACTAGACAGTACATACGAGACTACAGGCAGTACTAACTAGACAGTCAATAGACAGTACATACCTGGACTAGACTACAGACTACTAAATGACTTATCAAGCTACCATCGTTCGGAGTCCACTCCCAACTTCACAAGCCTGGATTTCTAGCTTGCCAAGCAATAACACACACACAAAACATCAACACACTAAAGAGGAAGGGGATAAGATAGGTTGACGTTTCGGGCGATATCCCTTATTCACATCACATTGAGCATCCTCTACAAACCTCTCCAGAGCTCATGCAAGCGGAGGCCCTTCCGCCAGCAGTGGCACGAGCAAGACATTGCAGGGCTGAACCTTTACATTGTTATACGGACAGAAAGACAAAGATCCCCCGTGTAGCCTTAACAGACTGTCGGGGCAAGTGCTGCTAGCGAGCAGCACCTGTGAAGGCCGGCACGAGGGGATTGGGTGGCCAGCACCACGCCCGGCCGCCTTTGTCTCCCCAGTGGCGATGTTTACACACCGCTCCAGGAACTCATTTGAGGCTGAGTCGACCTAGGGGAGGCCCAAGATCCGGTTCAGATAACCGTACACATTGGTTGTTGGTAGGCCGTGGTGCAGCGTTGACCACTACTCCACCGCTCCCCACACACACAAGTAGTATATCATCCTCCACTGATGTTTAAGCCGTGGCTGGGAACCGAACTCTCATAATTGAGACCTTTTAGTCAGTATCAAAGTATGAAAAGTAAGAATACGGTAGGCGTTTTACCCTTTCTGGCCAATAAAACAAGGATGTGTGTTATGATTTCCAAACACCAAATTAACTATCGCTGTTTGCAAGGAATCAAGTACTGCATGAAGCACACAGTACTTTGTGAACTTGCAAACATGCTCTGATAATTATAGACGGTATTGTCTTTGAAACGGATTGGTCTCCAACCAATAGGGCAGGTTATTAAAGAAGGTTGTCTCTGGTGTAGAACAATTAGTTTCAAAGACAACGCATATTATAGTGTTGTCAGATCATGTTCTCACCACAAGTTATGTGTGTGTGTGTGGTTAAAGCAGGACTTGATCCCTTACCAAAGGTATCAATTTGGCGTTTGAACATCTTAACATTGGTTTTATTATTGATTTGAAGCTTTCGTGACTGCAGGAATCCATACTCTTTGGTGCTTTCGGTAAAGTCACCAAGTGGGTAGAAAATAAATCACGACGTTTCGGGCGCAACACAAGCGTCCATCATCAGGTGGGAAAGCGTGGTCTGCTGCTGAGGCAGACTGTTTTAGTTTTATTGGCCAGAAAGGATAAACATCTATTTCTTATTTTTGCACAAATAGAACTCTTCTTGTTTGACACTGCAAGCCTAACCGATAATGAGTACACGGAGCATGACTCAGGAATGAGAGAGATGATGGGATATTAGAGAGTGGGAGATGGGAGAGAGATGAAATAAGCGAGGCGAGATGAGAGAGAAATGAGACGGAGAGATATATGAGAGAGATGACAGGGAGATGAGAAAGATGAGAAAGGGAGATGGGAGAGGGAGAGATGAGAGAGATGAGAGGGAGATGGGAGGGAGATGAGAGGGAGATGAGAGAGCGATGAGAGGGAGATGAGGAGAGATGAGAGATCGAAGAGAGTGATGTGTGAGAGAGATGAGGAGAGATGAGAGATTGGAGAGAGAGACGAGAGGGAGAGATGAGAAGGAGAGATTGAAGAGAGAGAGAGTGATGTGTGTGTGAGAGAGAGTGATGTGTGTGTGAGAGAGTGATGTGTGTGTGAGAGAGAGAGTGATGTGTGTGAGAGAGAGTGATGTGTGTGTGAGAGATTGAAGAGAGAGAGAGTGATGTGTGTGTGTGTGAGAGAGAGAGTGATGTGTGTGAGAGAGAGTGATGTGTGTGTGAGAGATTGAAGAGAGAGAGAGAGAGTGATGTGTGTGTGAGAGAGTGATGTGTGTGTGAGAGAGTGATGTGTGTGAGAGAGAGTGATGTGTGTGTGAGAGAGTGATGTGTGTGTGTGAGAGAGAGAGAGAGTGATGTGTGTGAGAGAGATGAGAGATTGAAGAGAGAGATGAGAGATTGAAGAGAGAGAGAGTGATGTGTGTGAGAGAGAGATTGAAGAGAGAGAGAGTGATGTGTGTGTGAGAGAGAGAGTGATGTGTGTGTGAGAGAGTGATGTGAGAGAGAGTGATGTGTGTGTGAGAGAGATTGAAGAGAGAGAGAGTGATGTGTGTGTGAGAGAGAGAGAGATGTGTGTGAGAGAGATGAGAGATTGAAGAGAGAGATGAGAGATTGAAGAGAGAGAGTGATGTGTGTGAGAGAGATTGAAGAGAGAGAGTGATGTGTGTGAGAGAGTGATGTGTGTGAGAGAGAGATGTGTGTGTGAGAAAGAGAGAGTGATGTGTGTGTGAGAGATGAGAAGGAGAGGTTGAAGAGAGAGAGAGTGATGTGTGTGTGAGAGAGTGATGTGTGTGTGAGAGATGAGAAGGAGAGATTGAAGAGAGAGAGATGTGTGTGTGAGAGATGAGAAGGAGAGATTGAAGAGAGAGAGATGTGTGTGTGAGAGATGAGAAGGAGAGATTGAAGAGAGAGAGAGAGAGTGATGTGTGTGTGAGAGGAAGTCTCAAACCAGCTTCACGCCCTCCCCCGCGATGTCGCAATCGCAGCTGACGAGCGGCATGGAGTCCAACAACGGCCTGTGAGTAGCGGCGCCCTCTCCGTGCACCCCTAGCGACTACGCCTGCTCTATCCACTGCTGCATTAAAGGGACGATACCCCCACGATGTAACAATCGCAGCAGCTGCTGCTTGGCTCGTTGTTAAAGTCGCTCGCTCCATCTCCGCGGTTGACGTCCTCTCGACCGCGCGCCGCCGTGACTTCACGTACACACTCCTTATACATTATATTAGTGTACACACACACAAACACACGAGCAGGCACGCAACATAGTGCACAATTAAATACGTGGGCGTGTGTGAGTGCATGCCGCTTGAACTTGCACACAGCTGCACAATGTTTAGCGTTCGGAGCTGGACGCAAAGTGTTTGCGTAAACACGGGCACGGGTTAGAAGTGCAGCTACGTGCAGAGTCATCCTCACGCTGCTGTTTTTTTACGGCCATTTGCCAGTGTCTTAAGTGTTTAACTTCAGTATGACTCGTAAATGTATAATGGTCGTTGCATTTGTGGAGAATTAAATATGAGAATTAAGCCGTGTCCGTTAACGACACGTTGAGGCCTAGCGATCGGAGTACACACCGGTCTCGGCTAGATGCTCCTACCCGGCTGACCTCGCCGTGTAGGCGGCCGGCGCCTCGCCGGTGTCACGGTGACACCGGCACGGTCAGTGTTTGTCATTTTGTTGTTGTTAATAATTATTTTCTCTGAACAGCTTTTATCAAACAAAAGGCAATTCCCTCTTTTTATTGATTTGTGTTACCAGTTACGGTCTTGAATCTAGATTTGAAGTTTATTTTATTTTATACCTACGTGGCTTTTACCGAAACAACCAAAGAGTACAGCAGTTTACGGTCTTGTAAAAATGTTTGTTTATTAAATCGGTATAGTAGGGGGCGTCTGTGACTTGACCCTGAATGCTGCTCGGATAGATGACCCCCCCCCCATGCATAACAGGGGGCTATAGGCTACGGGGGCCACGCACTACAATATCTGCTCCCCTTCCCCCCCTCGCCTTTACCAACCTGCAGTGACCAGCGTGGTGAAGTATGGTGAAATAACACCCCCCTCTCCTCCTCCTCCTCCTCCCAACCGCGACCAGCACGTATTCGAGTGGGTGCCGTCATTCCAGGGCTCTAACATCGACACGAACCCGTTGAGGCTAAACGTGTCTTTGAACGGAGACGTGGGGTATTGATTTGAAGAACCCCAGTACGTACCCAGAACTGTATCACAAAGCAGTTCGGTAATCTTGTAAGATTCAAAGTGCAAGTCCCATTTTATATCTTGAGGTTTGTTATCGCAGAGCACATGTCCCATACGGGGATCATAATGACGACGGTGGTGGTGGTGGACATTGTGGTGCCGATTTTATTTTTTCAATGTCAGCTTTAACTAATCTGTTATGGCATCAAACATTCGCAAACTATTCACACTTTACACAATTCTTTTTAACTAGTTCATGTTATTTTGTGCAAATGTAAGAACATTATGAATATATAAAATCGGCAAAGAAAAGTGTCCCTTTTGTGTTTGCAAATTATACAATGTAATTTTTTTGGTAAAAATATAAAACAGCTTTTGAATTTGTGTAACTTTGTATACGTTACAGACTTAGAACGTGCACGTCTGCAAGTGTGTGAATGTGTTCAGTCGGGAGCGGTGGCGTTGTGGTTAGCGCACTGCGCTACGAACCCGGCAACCCAAGTTCAATTCCCACTCAAAGCCAACATCGGTGACGAATATCTGAACCGGTAGACACGGCCTTAAATGAGGACCTGGGGCAGTGGTGTAAACAGCAGCACTGGGGAGACAAAGGCGTCCGGGCATGGTGCTGGCCAACCCCAATGCCTTGTGTGCCGTGGTGGCCTTAATAGGTACTCACTACCAGCACTTGTCCCAAGAGTCTGTAAGAAGCTATACGGGGGATCTTTGTCTTCTAGATGTGTTCAGTAACATCACGTAATTAAGCTAGCCATTAGTAACAAACAAAAAAACCTTCCACGATTAATTATATGATGCACAGAGGCTCCCCGGCCTCAGTCATATGGAGATAACATTTTCTTTCCCATATAATAAATAAAAATCTGCTTGTGCAACATATTCACCAACTGACAGTTACACAACATGGTCGGTCGCATGTAGCAAGACTCGACTTGTTTGGGCAAGACAGCACAAGCGGCCCTGCTCCTGGCTGCAAGATGAGATACACGGGAGAGAGAGGGGCCGTGCCTGCAAGTCGCGTTAATCGAACCAGAAAACTCCCATTGTACACCATCGTCTGCACTGGCCGTCTTAAAGATCCTCCACCAACTCCCGCCGACCTCTTCCCTCCGGTCTCACTCCCCTCTTCACACGCTCTTACGTCTCCCCTCTCATTGCACTCCACTCCTCTCTGTGCACTCCAATACCTTTCTCTCATCTCTCTCCCTCTCTCTGCTTCCATCCACACGCTCTACCTATCTCTGTCCTCTCAATCTCACTCAACTCTCCTCCACGAAACTCCTCAGCTACAGCAACCAAGACTTTCCGTCGAAGACCCCTGGTCATCTTCACTGCGCCATCGCTGCCCTGATTCACATTGCGAGCGACAAATCATTTTAGGGATCCATCTATTTGCCTCTTTATAAGCCATTACTCAAATAAACAGTACTTATAAAATTTCGATTTAAAGCTTTCGTGACTGCAGGGATTCATATTCTTGGTTCTTTCGGTAAAGTTACGTAGAAGGGAAATAAAAAAAAGTAAAAATGAAAAAAATATTATTTTATTATTTCCCTTCTACGTGACTTTATCGAAAGAACCAAGACCAGTGCTTATTAATTCGTAGAACATCTTAACGGAATTTTATAGCGCCTTAACCACGGCGCTTTACAAAGCATTAGCAACGGTACAACGTGTGTGAATGTCACGGTGGAGATGAGGTGAATGAAATAGATGAGAGGAAGAAATGGGGGCAAATCTGTGATGGTGCGTGAATTCGGTAAACGTGAAATTGATGACAGTAAATGATGACGAATGGAATGAATGCATGTGGAATGAGTGATAGCTATATAATGAGAATATGAAGAGGGAACAGCATAACATCAACTTGTAAGTCCATTATGGGTAATAATCCCTGCAAGGGGATGCTATTGTGCTGTAGTGGTTAGCAAACTGGTGTGACTTCCAATCCAGAGGTCGCCGGTTCAATTACCTGGCGTGGCATTTGAAACAATGGCCAGATATTTTATTCGCGTTCCCCTGGCAGACCGGCCAAGTTCCCAGAGCTGAAGAATGACGCGTTCCTGAAGGCGGCGCGCGGGGAGCAGACGGACTTCGTGCCCGTGTGGTGCATGCGGCAAGCGGGGAGGTACCTTCCAGGTATGTTCCAACACTTCATTTCTCAATAAAAAAATTAAAATTCCGGCTCGCTGCTAGACTGTGAAATAGGTTGCACGGAACTCGCAGCCACAGCAGCCGTAGCGACAGGTACGCTCGATGTGTTATGCTGAGCGCGGAAATATTTTCCGGGTCGCTGGGAAAAATGGAGTGCACACCCACGTATACACGCTTTGACCACATTTATACAGGGGCTAAATTTTTTCACCGAATATCTTCCGAGTTTTATAATGACATATCTCAAAGCCAAACTGTGGAGCGACTGCCGCATTGGTTAGCGCACCGCGCTATCCATCCGGTGACCTGAGTTCGATTCCTGGCCAACATCAGCGGCGAGTGGTGTTCACTGAACCGGTAGTGGTCCTTCCTCTAGCCCTTCACCAACCTGTGCCGACCAGCCATGGTGAAGTATGGTCGACTGTGGCTTGACAGAACACAGATTATTATTTTCTATTAAATTTAGCAGACAATCAGTCACCCTTGTTATTACATTCCTGTCTGGTTGGGCCTTTAAAAAAAAAAACACCAGTGCCTTTGCAAATAATTTTCTTTTATAATTATGAATACTGTCATTTTAAATTAGGGCAGTTCCACCAATTAGCCAACATCACGATCATAATTTCCAAACCATCTCTAATAAACACGGGTTGTCATTGTGATGGTAATTATCTACGATTTAGGAAAGAGTGGCTCATTTATAGAAGAAGTTGATGGATTGAGACACACACAGAACTGAATGCGTCATCACCACCATCCCAGCGTGGAGGAAATGGTGCGTTTATCCCGCGTACGTCCGACACCACCGCGGTATCTCAAGAACGTTTCTGTCCCTTATCGAGAGAGGTGGACACACTAATTAAAACTATTTGACCATATTCTTTGGGTCTTTCGGTAAAGTCACGTAGATAGGTTCAAAGAAAATAAAAATGAAAACTACGACGTTCCGATCGCAACACAAGCGGTCGTCTTTTCCTGAAGATGGCCGCTTGTGTTGCGATCGAAATGTCGTAGTTTTTTTGTTATTTTCTTTGAACCTATCTATGTGACTTTACCGAAAGACCGAAAAAACATGAATTCCTGCAGTCACGAAAGCTTTAAGCCACTATTTAACCAGGTAAGGCCTACTGAGCTATATAGCTTTTTTTCAGAAGCGACCTGGCCACAAATGATAGCTCAACCGAGTGGCATCGCACGTGGAAATGTATAGCAGCCAAATACTCTAAACGTATGTTTCTAAAACATGGAGGGAAAAACTTGAGGACCCGGAGAAAAATCCACGCGACCACGGGGAGCACATGCAAACTCCAAATATACAGCAGCAGGCGTCAGGGTCGGGATCAAACCCACGACCTCCTGTATACCAGGCGAGGCAGTTAACATTTTGCCACCGTGGCATCCGAGAGTCCCTAAAGTGGTCGGCACACTCTGCCCAAGTAAAGAAAAAATCCACTTCACGATTCTACCAACGATTGCCCACGTCTTGAACGCGTCTCAAACCTGTACATCTGAGGCCGTGCAACTGTCCGTTGAATACTTCCCGCCTGTCCATTCACAGGAGCGCACTTCGCAGTGATGCAGGTGGTTGCATAATCTTGCTGTACATCGTCGGCTTATGTAATTCGTACTGTTCCTGTGGGGTTTATTGAAATCTTATTTCCAACCTGAGGCATTAACACAGAATCTGCCTCACCATATCAGTTTGAAGTCATTTGTTTATCTTTCCTATACTCTGCACTCCTTTTGTGTTTCGTATTGTTTTTATTTTTTTGACGTTCTGACCCCGTGCCCCTACTGGACATCTGTGAAAAAGAGCTTCATAGCTCATCAGATTCCTCCTCCAGTATAAATAAATAGTCTGATTCCGAGTTGCCCCTTTGTCTATCCGACACCGCCGCCTATTTGGTCGCTTGCCTGTGACCCAAATCACCCTCGACGCGCCCAGTCTCATCAGCTGTCCAACGCTGAGCAGGGTTGAGGCTGCACAGTGCTTGGATGGGCAATCACAAATGCATAACACAGGTGCTCCAGGATCCCGCGGGGCCACGCTGTCAGCGAAAGGCGACAAGAGCAGAAAAATAATTTATTGTACTGCACTACCCTCCGGCGCCTATGCTTCCCCAGCTTTACCAACCCGCACACTGACCAGGGCGGTGAAGTATGGTCAACCAGCCCCCACAACCCGCACAAGGTGGGGGAGTCTCGTTTTTCGTTACTGTGGAGCAGTAAGTACATCATAGCATAATTCCATTCTGTGTCTCCACATTCCCGTACGTATGTTGACATTATTTCGTACTGTACGTAGCCAACCGCGCTAATTGGAGGTGCGGGGGAACGACGACAAACTAAACACAAAGAGCAGTTCTAAAGAAATGAGTTTTCAATCTAGATGACGATTCAAAAGTGTGTAGCTCCAGTGGCTTCCTACTATCAGAAGGAAGAGCGTTCCTGACGGCCGCGGAAGGACATCTGGGCGCCACGGTGGCAAGATGTTCACTACCTCGCCTGGTATCCACGAGGTCATGGGTTCGATCCTGACCCTGACGCCTGTACATTTGGAGTTCGCATATTCTCCCCGTGGTCACGTGTATTTTTCTCCTGGTCCTCCGGGTTTTCCCTCCGCGTTTAGAAACACGCGTTTTAGAGTATTTGGTCGCTATAGATTCCCACACGACAAGCCGCCGCCTCGTTGATCTATCACTTGTGATTGCCAGGTCAGTGCGCATTAAGGTTAAATACAAAATGGTGTCGTTTCAGTTTAGAATCCGCGCAATGTAATCGTTAACATAATCGTTAATGATCATTAATGTAATCGTTAATATTCAACCCATTAATGTTGCCGCTTGCCTCTTACAGAATTCCGCGAGACGCGGGCCGGGCAAGACTTCTTCGAGACGTGCCAGAACCCGGAGCTCTGCTGCAAGCTGACGCTGCAGGTGAACACGTCGGCAACAACGGCGGCGGGGCAGACGCAGGAGCGGGAAGATTCGGCCCGTCTCGCTCGATCACGCGGCCGCTACAAATAAATCAGAACCTCGCTCGTCCTCGTGGCACGTGTAGAGACGGTGGATGCAGGTGTTTACATTCGCGTTCAAGTGCATTTGAGCGTAAGTTAATGGGTGAAGGCGCAGCCCTGCAATTGCTTGCTCACGCCACTGCTGGCGGAATGGTGCCTCCAACTATAGCCACCTCCAGACAGAGCCCCTCGGGAGCGTCATTTTGGACTTCTATTCCCATGCTGGCCAACACGCATGTATGTTTGTATGTATGTACGTATGTTGAACTTCTTTCGCGCCGTACGCAGCCAACTCTGCTCATCGGAGGTACGGGGTAAGGACAACGAACTAAAATAATAAGAGGTGTGAGTAACCCACACTTTACCCCACCGTGGCGTACACATTTGTACTGCTGGGTGGACAGTGGTGGCGAGTTAGTGAGTGGGAGGGAAGATAGATTTCAAAAAACGCCTGCCATTGTTTCAACCGCCGCGCCAGGAGATGGAATCGGACCGGCGACCACCTGGATTGCAGGTGCAGGGCGTTGCTCGCCATCGCACCGCTGTGGTGGCGGCCTCCACGGGTCATCTACGAACCGGGAATAATCGCCTCCTCGGGGCACGACTCCACGCGTGTATTGCGAGTAGCACGTGCGCTCAACGGACCGTTGCAGCACGAGACCACGGTGGGGGTGGCATACCTGCAAACCCCTCGTCAGTGCCCTACTTTATTACAGACCAATTCAGACCGTATTGGTCACCCCGTGCCCCTTATAAATCTCAACGTTCAGCCTGCAAAGTCCCATCACAAGGGAGATACACAAATAGAAAATGTTTTTAATTACCCCGTATTGAAACGGCTGTACGCTGTATAGGCCTGAAAACTCAATTTCCCTGTACAAGATTACGGGGTGAACCGTATGGGTCGACCAGCATTGGGGGGGGGCGGGCGGAGATGGCGGCGGCGGCCTGGGAAAGACCCCAGCGCGTTTGCCGGTTACGATGAAGGAGACCTCGCCTGCGTTGGTTCCGTTAATTTTTATTCTTTGTTTCCGCAGCCGATCCAGAGATTTGCGCTCGACGCCGCCATCATCTTCTCCGACATCCTGGTGGTGCCGCAGGTCAGAGGCCGCGCGAATGACGACGGCGATCTCGCCGCCCCACGCCTACGATCCGAGTCGCCCAGACCCCATCGGACCTGGGCAGCTAAGCTGGTTGTAGCCTGGGTAGCGCTTTTGATGACTGCTTGCCTTGCGTTAAAAAAAATAAACAATAACAACAGGTGTTGCAGGCTGCTGCGGGGCTATGTTGTGGTCAGCGGAGGGGCATTGCAGAGAGAAATCCATTGGTGCACCGTCCTATGCTCCGTCGGCTACGCTGCCCGCATTCACCAACTCGCACTGACCAGCGCGGTGAAGTATGGCCAGACAACCCCCATGACCCATGCACGGTGCGAGGAGTGCTCTCACCCATCAGCGAATTGTTTAAAGGGCTTTACATGTACAATAGTACATACCCCGAGGAGACGATATGGCTCAACGGGGGACGTGTCTTGTGGATGATTGCGTGCGTGTACGCCTGCATGTAAATGTGCACGTGTGCTTCACAATTGTGTCTGCGGGTCCTCACGTGCGTGTACGTGGGTGTGCGTGTGTCTGTGTCGAGCGGTGGCGCTGCGGTTGGTGCACTACCCTACGGACCTGGCGACCCGAGTTCGATTTCAACTCGCCAGCAATAGTTGCGAATAATATCTGAACCGGTGACGGGCCTCCTCCCCTCTGCCGACTCAGCCTTAAATTAGTACCTGGTTCAGTGTGTGTGAAACATGAGCACTGGGGAGACAAAGGCAGGCAGGCATGGCGTTGACACAACAAACATCTAAACTATTAAACCAAACTATTTCTATTTTACCAGGTAAGGCCCACTGAGCTAAGCGACCTGGCCACAAATGAGAGCCCGACAAATTGGCTTATCATCACGTGGAAATTTATAGCGGCCAAATACTCTAAATGCGTGTTTTTCTAACTGTGGAGGGAAAATCCGGAGGACCCGGAGAAAAATCCACGCGGGGAAAACATGCAAACTCCAAATATACAGGTGTCAGGGTCGGGATTGAACCCACAAACTCCTGTAGACCAGGCGAGGTAGCTAACATCTCGCCAGTGGCGATTGATCTCTGAATTAGTCCACACAAGCCACTCATAGGCCCGCGCCGGCCTTCATAGCTCCTCGCTGCAGCACCTGCCGCAGCAGTAGTCTTATAACGATTCACACGGCGTTGGGGGTACCTGCGTGTTGCGCACTGTATGCCGTTAAACTTCTTTCGCACTGTATGTAGCCAACCGTGCTAATCGGAGGTGCGAGGGAAAGACAACAAACCAAACACAAAGCAATTGTAAAGACAATAGTTTTCAATCGATATTTAAAAGTGCATAGCTCCGGTGGCTTCCTAGTGTCGGAAGGAAGAGCGCGTTCCAGACGGCCGCAGAAGCGCATCTCAAAGCTCGCGATGCGGTGACCGCCGCCTTTCTTCCCCGGATCATCAAAAGCCGCCGCTGCTGTTGCGAGGATGACCGGAGTGTCCAGCGAGTTGCATCTCGGTTCGTGCGTGACGAGGGCGATGTCGGCGCGTGGGCCAGGCGATGGGCATGGAGGTGGTGATGACCCCGGGGAAGGGCCCCACCTTCCCGCAGCCGCTGGCCGACCCCGCCGACTTGTCGCGTCTCCGCGAGCGCGTGGACGTGCACCGGCACCTGGGCTACGTGTTCCGCGCCATCACGCTCACGCGCCACCGCCTGGAGGGCCGCGTGCCCCTCATCGGCTTCTCCGGGGCCCCCGTGCGTAACTCCGCCCCCCCCCCCGCCATCCACTGCCCCCTCCCGTCCGTCTATTGCAGTGTACACACCGCCCGAGCGACTCCGGAGTCGCAGAGTTGGTTAAGAAGAATATGGGGAACCGGTCACGGCAATGTGGAACTTACACCTCCGACGCATAGCATGGGAAACACGCACACGCGTTGCACACATGTGGATCCCACACACGTTGCTGTGCGCAACGCGTGTGGGATCCACGGGTACACGATAACGCGCGGCGCACGTGCGGGTACGTTGTATATCCGGCCGGGTGACTCGGAGGCAGAGTTCAAATACTGGTTGTGGAGTTGACTCGGCCCATCATGCCGCTGGGCCCGATAAAACTAGTACCACTTTTGTGCGGAAGTCGGGAATGGTTGTCCTATGGAGGGACTCGCCCGGATTCTAGGAACGTGGAATTTCCACTTCTGGCCCTGGCAGGGCTGTAATCAGGAGATGAGCACAAACGTTTCATTGCTCACATGAGCAGGAAACCACTGTGAGCACCAAACGGTCCAATCAAACATCGGCAGCAGGTTGACATGCGCACTTACTATTTTCATATCCCGTACCTTCGATTAGCACGGTTTGCTATGTACGGTGCAAAAGAAGTTCAACACACATACGTAACATACATACGTGTCAGATCACATTCGTTTTATTTCCCCAAACAATATTCCCTCTCTTGCGGTACCCATCTTTAATGAGAACTCTCTCAATGCTAACGCGGTTACCTTGCTATCGCGTGTTTTTGTGATCCAGAGATTTTAAAAAATTCAGAAAATCATCGGTAGCATTTACCACCCTGCGTAGTACCGTTAGCCATTTTTGGGCCTGAGGCTCAAGGACCCCCAAAATATCCTTGGTTCTTTCGGTAAAGTCACGTAGAAGGGAAACAATAACATTTTCTTGCTGTGGTTTTCACACCTGATGATGATTGCTTGTGTTGCAGTCGAAACGTCGTGAGAATTTTGTTTTATATTTTTAATATTTTATTGTTTCCCTTCTACATGACTTTACCGAAAGAACCAAGAATATGAATCCCTGCAGTCACGAACGCTTTAAATCAAAAGACCCCCAAGATGTTGAGTGAAGTCTTCCCCTTTTCGCAGTGGACGCTGATGACGTACATGATCGAGGGCGGAGGCTCCCCCACGCAGTCGCGAGCCAAGCGGTGGCTCTACCAGCACCCGGAGGCGAGCCACCGCCTCCTCTCCTCGCTCACCGGCGTCATCGTCGATTACCTGGTGGGCCAGGTGGCCGCCGGGGCACAGGTGCTGCCCCCCACCCCCGCCTCCCTAACCCCCCCCCCCCCACCTCACCACATCACCATCATTACCACCACCAAAGGCAAGGATTCCCCGTATAGCCGTGACGGACTGTTGGGGCAAGTGCTGTTAGCGTGCACCTATAAAGGCCGGCACGGCACACGACGGGGTGGTGTGTTCCGAGTGGTGATGTTTGCACGTTGCACCAGGTACTCATTTGAGGCCGAATCGACCTAGGGAAGGCCCAGGACCGGTTCAGACAATTTTCATCGGTGTTGGTGGCCGTGAGCGGGAATTGAACTCGGATCGCCGGGTTCGCAGCACTGCGCCACCGCGCCTCCAATTAACACGTTTGGCTACATACGATGCGAAAGAACATACAGACATACACACATACACTCCACAGACATGTGCAAAGCCCCCCCCCCCCCCGCTCCGGGAAGATTGAAGTAAAATAAATATTGAAAGGGGGGTAAAAGGCGCTGTTCGTGACGATTTGTTACCGGTGGTGTTTCTACTGCGCAGGTTTTCAAGCGGTACTCCAATTGTGAGAGAGTAGGATAGACGCCCTCGAGGGCAGTGGTTCTTAAACGTTACTGCAGCCTCGCAACCCTTTGGTTCTCAATCGTAAAAAATATATATAATGTTAAATACATAGTCTTTGATGAAACAAAGAAGTTACTTACATGCCCGTGTTTAATTTGTGTTTTGATCATTTACCTTCTAAAAAACATCTGGCCATGTCTCGGACCCCCAGAAAGGGCATCTCACACCCCCAGGTTTTAAGAAGAACCACTGCGCTAGAGGGTGAGAGAGTATTTTGGCCCGCCCGTAGAATTTGGAATCTGGGATCCGATTGCTACAGATGGCTCCTTAGCTGTGTGTGCGGGTCGCACCGCCTGCTGTTTGGCACGACGTCCGACGTTTCTCTCCGCGTGCTGGGAGCTTCTTCATGACCTGAATATGAATTCAGCACGTGGAGGCTCCTTGACTCGGCCCATCATCCCTCCAGTGTCGATGAAATAGGTACCGCTCTGTGTGGAAGTAAGTGGTGCTCCTATAGATAGACTTCACGATTGCCATAGGAATGTGGAATTTGCACCTCCCTCAATGGTCATTTGAGCAGTAGGTCAATTTGACTGTAACATTTCATCCTCGGTCGTCCGCCCCAATCATCGTTGGATACACAGCAGCATTACCCGCCATCACCATGTTCCGTCAGCTGAACGCTATCACTGGAACACTTAGGGAAATCCTTAAAATAAATTGGCCCTTTTGGCGATTACTTTGGGCGAGAGAGGGAGGCAAGGTGGCGGGGGGGGGGGAGGGAGGTGGAGGCGTCGCAAGGTAATTACGGGCGCTCCTAACGAAGACACCGTTTAGTTTGTGCCCGCCATTAATCTGTCATCGGCCCGTTAACAATGAGGCTTCCTCGTTAGCTCATAATTATCGCTCTTAGGATGATCTTCACGGCTTAAAACAATCCGAGCGTCTGCCCCGCTCGGACGAGCGTCACACACCGCTCCTCCACGTTCAAATTCGGCGGCCCTCATCGAGTGTCAGAAATTCCACGTTCCCATGGCAGGGACTGGTCGCTTCACAGGACCGTCGCTGTCGACTTGCCGCAAAGCGGGCACCCATTCTGTCGTCTCCCGGGTCGACTTTCGAGCCGAGATTGTGAACTCGTGGGCGTTGTGAGTGAACTCACAAAAGTCCTCATTGAATCAGTCGTCATGGTTACTCTTATCAGTGTAAGAGTAGCGCGAGCGTGGGGAGCGGTAGCGTAGTGGCTAGCACGCTATGCTACGCACTCGGCGATGAGTATAACAATAATTTCAATTTATCAAGCGCCCTTCAACAATCATTCTCAGGGGCCCGGTGCGGTGTGTGAACATCAACACTGGGGAGGCAAAGGCAGCTGGCTTGGTGCTGACCACACCACTCTCTCGTACGCCGTGCCGGCCCTCATAGGTCCTACTCGCTAACAGCACTTGCCCCAACGGTCTGTGAAGGCTACACGGTTGGGGGGGGGGATCTTTGTCTGTCTGTGCGTAGGCTCTGCAGGTGTTTGAGTCTCACGCCGGCTGCCTGGGCCCGACTCAGTTCTCCGAGTTTGCGCTGCCGTACCTGCGGGAGATCGCCACGCGCGTCAAGCAAGGCCTGCGTGATGCGGGCCTCGAGCTCGTCCCCATGGTAACGACGCCATCGTTGTCATGCACGTCATCGTCGTTTCGTTTTAAAGATGATGACCGTTTGTGTTATGGTCGAAACGTCGTGAGAATTTTTTATTGTTTTATATATATTTTATTATTATTTTATTGTTTCCCTTCAACGTGACTTTACCGAAAGAGCTAAGAATATGAATTACTGCAGTCACGAAAGCTTTAAATGAAAATTTAATCTACATCTGATTCATGAGAACACAATTTTTAAAAATGTACTGCAGTCAATCACTCACTGGCAGTCAGTTGCCTCCTTATCGTTCTTTATCGCTACATTCATGGTCACTGTTCCCGTGAATGTCATTAGTTGATTCCTCCACCTGTGTTGAGGTCTCTGCCAGACACTGACCGTCTTGTCTCATCCTGCACACTGTTCAACCAGCACCACACTGCAGGTCAACACAACACACCCACCCACGCACCCACCCATGCACCCACCCACGCACCCACCCACCCACGCGCCCACTCACCCGCTCACTTATCCGCCCACTCATCCGCTCACCTGCTCACGTACGCACCCACCCACTCACTCACCCGCTCACTCACCTGCTCACGCTCCCACTAACGCACCCACTCACTCACCCGCTCACTCACCTGCTCACGTACGCACCCACCCACTCACTCACCCGCTCACTCACCTGCTCACGCTGCCACTAACGCACCCACTCACTCACCCGCTCACTCACCTGCTCACGTACGCACCCACCCACTGACTCACCCGCTCACTCACCTGCTCACGCTCCCACTAACGCACCCACTCACTCACCCGCTCACTCACCTGCTCATGCTCCCACTAACCCACCCACTCACTCAACTGCTCACTCACCTGCTCACGCTCCCACTAACGCACCCACTCACTCACCCGCTCACTCACCTGCTCACGCTCCCACTAACCCACCCACTCACTCACCCGCTCACTCACCTGCTCACGCTCCCACTAACCCACCCACTCACTCACCCGCTCACTCACCTGCTCACGCTCCCACTAAGGCACCCACTCACTCACCCGCTCACTCACCTGCTCACGCTCCCACTAACGCACCCACTCACTCACCCGCTCACTCACCTGCTCACGCTCCCACTAACGCACCCACCCACTCACTCACCCGCTCACTCACCTGCTCACGCTCCCACTAACGCACCCACTCACTCACCCGCTCACTCACCTGCTCACGTACGCACCCACCCACTCACTCACCCGCTCACTCACCTGCTCACGCTCCCACTAACGCACCCACTCACTCACCTGCTCACTCACCTGCTCACGTACGCACCCACCCACTCACTCACCCGCTCACTCACCTGCTCACGCTCCCACTAACCCACTCACTCACTCACCCGCTCACTCACCTGCTCACGCTTCCACTAACCCACCCACCCACTCACTCACCCGCTCACTCACCTGCTCACGCTCCCACTAACGCACCCACTCACTTACCTGCTCACTCACCTGCTCACGTACGCACCCACCCACTCACTCACCCGCTCACTCACCTGCTCACGCTCCCACTAACCCACCCACTCACTCAACTGCTCACTCACCTGCTCACGCTCCCACTAACGCACCCACTCACTCACCCGCTCACTCACCTGCTCACGCTCCCACTAACCCACCCACTCACTCACCCGCTCACTCACCTGCTCACGCTCCCACTAACCCACCCACTCACTCACCCGCTCACTCACCTGCTCACGCTCCCACTAACGCACCCACTCACTCACCCGCTCACTCACCTGCTCACGCTCCCACCAACCCACCCACTCACTCACCCGCTCACTCACCTGCTCACGCTCCCACTAACCCACCCACTCACTCACCCGCTCACTCACCTGCTCACGCTCCCACTAACGCACCCACTCACTCACCCGCTCACTCACCTGCTCACGCTCCCACTAACGCACCCACTCACTCACCCGCTCACTCACCTGCTCACGCTCCCACTAACGCACCCACTCACTCACCCGATCACTCACCTGCTCACGCTCCCACTAACGCACCCACCCACTCACTCACCCGCTCACTCACCTGCTCACGCTCCCACTAACGCACCCACCCACTCACTCACCCGCTCACTCACCCGCTCACTCACCTGCTCACGCTCCCACTAACCCACCCACTCACTCACGCACGCACTCATGAGTTGGAGCTCGCCGCTGAAATTGGTCATTGCTGGTTGGATTATTAACTTCCTCGGGAGTGGAGGGGTGCGGCGGGGGGGGGGGCGGAGGGGGGGCGGAAGGGGGGGTGGAGGGGGGGCAGAGGAGAGGGGGGGCGGTGGAGGACGGTGTGACGACGTGAACTCTAAATCCATTGCCCCCCACTCCCCCCCCTCCCCTAAATTATGACTCACCGCTATTTGTGTGCCCCCTCCCGGTCCCTCCGTCTCACAGATCGTGTTTGCGAAGGACGGTCACTTCGCTCTCAAGGATCTCGCCAACTCCGGCTACGAGGTGGTCGGCCTGGACTGGACCATCAGCCCCAAGCTGGCACGGTGAGGCCGGGTGCCAGGACAATACAATAGCGGCATCGTCTTCACCGCCACCATCATCACCATCATTGATCAACGACGGGCATTGGAGAGCAGATGGTGGGAGACTGGTTGGGCAGATCTGTAGGATTCTGTCTATCTATGGGTCTCTATGTGAGACTATGGGTCTCTGTGTGAGTCTATGGGTCTCTGCATAAGTCTACGGGTCTCTGCATAAGTCTACGGGTCTCTGCGTGAGTCTGTGGGTCTCTGTGTGAGCCTGTGGGGTCTCTGTGTGGGTCAATTTGTCATCATAATCATCGCCGCCATCATCATCATCATCGTCATCATTGATACCGCTCTCATGATAATTAAAATTATTCATTAAAAAGGAAGTGGGCTCGGGCAGGACTCGTCGTTAGAAGGCGATCGGATGATGCCCCGTGGTCGAGACTTCACGTCTGAGCGACAGCCAAGGGAGGGAACGCGCCCCAGAGGACGTCCACCGTGGAGACGGAGTGACGCGTTGAGGATCGCGTGCAGGTGGCGCTGCGTAAGGCCGTGGCGTTGCCGGATCGTGAGGGATGGCGACGCCGTTGGGGAGGCGATTCATCCAGCAGCGGAGTGACTGTCGCGGCTGACAGTGGCGCTGTGGTTTTGTCGATGTGGTTCTGCAGGCAGCAGACGGGAGACGAGGTGACGTTGCAGGGAAATTTGGATCCCTGCGCACTCTACTCGCCCAAGGTTTGACTCCCGATCCAGTGACTCACGAGCAGAATTCACCTGGTGGCTTTGAAACTTCCTTTCGATAACAGTCACAAGTACACCCCTACCGCAGCGTCACACCACTACCGCAGCGTCACACCACTACCACAGCGTCACACCCTAACCACGATGTCACACCCCTACCACAGCATCACACTGCTCCCACATCACACCCCTACCACAGCGGCACACCCCTACCACGTCACAACCCTACCACAGCATCACACCCCTATGTCACACCCTAAGCACGACGTCACACCGTGCTTCGCACACCCTAACCACGACGTCACACTCTTACCACAGCGTCACACCACTACCACAGCGTCACACCCCTACCACAACGTCACACCCTAAGCACGACGTCACACCCTAAGGACGACGTCACACCGTGCTTCGCACACCCCAAGCACAACGTCACACCCCTACCACGACGTCACAACCCTACCACAGCATCACACCCCTATGTCACACCCTAACCACGACGTCACACCCCTACCACGACGTCACACCCTAACCACGTGCTCCCTCTCTCTCCCCCATGGCCGTCGTGGTGCAGGAGCGGCTGTGCGAGCTGGCGGGGGAGATGGTGCGGGCGTTTGGAACGCGTCGCTACATCGCCAACCTGGGCCACGGCATCTACCCGGACATGGAGCCCGAGCACCTGGGCGCCTTCGTGGACGCCGTTCACCGGCACTCGCGCAGCATCAACGCCGCGTGAACGCGCCGCCCTCCCACGCGTGAACACGCCCGCCCGCCCAGCCACCCATCCACTCGGCCATCCGCCTGCCCAGCAGTGGTGGCGTGCCAAACACACCACCCTCCCCCTGCCCCCGCCCTTGACCCCCGCACCCCCCCCTGACCCCCGCACCCCCCCCTGACCCCCACCCCCCCCCCCCCCTAGACCCACGCCCCCCCCCGCTTGACTCCTCCCTCTTGATCCCCCCCTGCACCCGACCAATATTATCCATTGTAGAGGTTTTTTTTTGTTGGGTTAGATCACGTAAATATATGAATGTGTCGTTAAACCCGCCACCACCCGACACAGCCAATAAAGTGGAGGTTTGTCACGTAAAACAAAACGGAGCCAATTCGTTACTAATTCAGCACTGACGGGTTGTGTGTTGGAGACTTAAACCCACAGCAGGTTTAACGACATGTTGATGTTTACGTGATCTAACGCCCCCTCCCCCCCCCCCAAAAAAAAAGACCCCTTCTGGATGAAAACCACGCCGGTTTTGCTTTTGACAATCAAAGCGCGAGAGGGCGGTGCACCAATGCGGCGGTGTTGTCCTGAGATCAACTTCTAATGGGTGAGGTGGCGGGGGGGGGAACCCTTTATAGCTACCGCTTTGTACCATGACATTGCAATAAATGCACTCAATTTGGTGCGAGAGCTGCGAGATGTTTACGGCTTTCGCCGTCGGCGCGTTCGCCACTTGATGTCTTTGCAGAGGGTGTTCGCGGTTCGAATCCAGCGGCCGCCCTGGTTAATACCGCCGGCGTATAATGACCATAATCAGACCGGAGGAATCCGATGAGCTCTGAAGCTCTTTTCCACACGTGTCGCAGGATGGCAGCGCTGTCCTCCTCGGCACCGCCTGCTTCACTTCACGGTGGTCGTTAAAGATCCCGTGACGTCACTCGCAAGAGGAGGTCGTCGTGCGCCCACGTACGGGTCCAGAATTGCCACACTACCTTTTGTGAGTGTAGTTAAATTTGTTACGTACAGCCCTTTGAGATAAGTTCAGTATTAAGGCGCTTTATACTGGTAGGAACCTCCTGGTTACACCACCAGCCCACAGGGGATTATTGTGTACGTCTGTCCGTCGTGCATCCAAAAATGGGAGGGGTGGGGCTGGGTGGAGAGGGGAGGGTGGGGAGGGAGGGGCTGGGTGGGGAAGGGAGGGTGGGGAGGGGCTGGGTGGGGAGGGAGGGGCTGGGTGGAGGGTGGGGAGGGGCTGGGTGGGGAGGGTGGGGCTGGGTGGGGGGTGGGAGGGGTGGGGCTGGGTGGGGAGGGGCTGGTCACCCCGTGGTGCCCTTATAAAACTCAACGTTTAACCTACTCACGCCGGCTTGTGCCCGCCCTCACAGTCGGGCATATTTGCGGAATACACCACGTGGTGCCGCCGTTGACCCTGGCCATTGACCGAGCAACCCAACGTTCCTACCAGCTCCCTCTGCAGGAATGTGTTAAAGTAGAGGTTATTATATTACGGTATTCCACAGAAATCACACGGCAAATTAGTCAATTGGAATTCGACACGCAGCAGCAATCGTCACCCCCTACTAGCAGCGGATCAATGCCTCAGGGTCACTTTCTAATTATCTCCAGAGTTCTCACCCTGGTGAAACAAAATTCAAATTGAACTTGGTGGTTTGAAACTGTTGAGACAACAAACACACGTGGTGTGGTTATTATACAGCTGGGTAGACATCCCTTGTCGACAGCCCTGCAAAGCCAGTGGTGGAAATTCCACATTCCTACAGTGTGGGCCGAGTCCATCCAAGGGACGACATTGACTTCCCCGCGAGGTGGTACTTATTTTATCGAACTCCCGGAGAGATGATTAAACTATTAAAGTTTTTATTTTACCAGGTAAGGCCCACTGAGCTGTATAGCTTTTTTTTTTTAAACGACCTGGCTGTCACAAATTGATAGTTCAACGAAAGTGGCTTATCACGTGGAAATGTATAGCAGCCAAATACTCTGAACGCGTGGTGATGTTGATTATTAATGTGGAGGGAATAAACGGAAGACCCGGAAAAAAAATCCACGCGACCACGGGAAAAGAGAGACACAAACTCCCAAATATACAGCAGGCGTCAGGGTCTGCGTTGAACTCACGACCTCCTGTATACCAGGCAAGGTAGTTAACATCTCGGGCATTTGAGCTCGCTGTTCCAGATGATCCCCGTGAGCCTGGTTCGTGGGCTCCACACGGGAAGTGTTTACACGGCCGGCATTTCACCGGCGATGCCAATTCGTGTTTTCCTTGGACCCAAAAAACCAATTTATAATTGCAATGAAACAAAGAACAAAAAAAATAGCAATTACGCGATTACGAGTAGCGGTGGGATTAAGGCGACTCTCGAGGGGGAAGGATCCCGAGATCGCTCCGAACGCTTCCCAATCGACCACGCGGACGTCCGGGGGGGGCGGGGGGGGGTGGCAGCGGGGGGCGACACCCGCGCGTGCGATGAGCCGTGAATCGTTGCAGGAGCCACGTGCAATCTGTAATTATTTGCCGTGTAATTATTTTTCATTTGAACTGTCAAACGGCGGCTCAGAAAATACAATCGGTGTGGGGGTGTGGGGGGGGGTTAGCGAGACATAAGCCGTCATTGTTTAGTCCAGTCCCAAGCCAACCGAACCCGAACGCTCCCCCCCCCCCTCTCTTCCGCGTTGGTGCCTTTTGTCTCAACGTCCACCTCCTGGCGTGCCGTCCCGTGGCGGCGCTTCATAGGTGGTCGCTAGTGGCCCACTTCCCACCACCCCCCCCCCCACCCCCCCCAACAGTCTGTTAAGGCTGTTGGGGGGCATGTGCGCCCGGGGGGAGACAAAGGCGCGCGGGCGTGGTGATGACCTCGCCAACAATTCGTGTGCCGTGTCGGCCTTCATAGGTGTCCGCTAGTGACCACTTGCCCCCAGCAGTCTGTTAGGGCCACGTGGGGGGAGGGGGATCTTTGTTTTTTTGTTTGTTCGCATACAAATTACGGTCTTGTTGAAGGATGGATGGACTGGGCCCTGTCATAGCCACGTGGATTTCCCACCGACCGCTGGCTCAGGGGGGCGCCTATGGAGATCAACGAATCGTCATTAACAGCAGCCACGATGTATCCACTGCTGGGTGAAGGCCTCCGTCGACACACAGTTTCCACCTGTCCCGGATTTAACCGGGACGGTTCCGGTTAAGTCGTCTCTTGTGCACGGGTGCTGCTGACATGGATGTCGTGTTGAACTTTATCGCGGTATTCTGCACCAGCTCTTTGATGATTGATCCGGACAGATTGTGAAATAACGTCCCCGGTTTTTTACTGGACATCTGCCCTCCCCCCAAAAAAAGAGCTTCATAGCTCATCGGATTCCCGCCCCCCTCCCCCGGTCTAAAAATAAAGACTCTGTTTGGCCTACATTGGAAAATAATGTGGCAATCTTACTGCCTATGCAGAGGGAGTCGGGGTCCGCCTCCCCTTCCCACTGATCCGAAGTTGACTGAAGACTTCCACACTCTCAAACTGGCCGCTATAAAGGGACCCAACAACCCACTTGCTGCGCTGCCGTCTCGTGATCATCTCAACGGACCATCGGCGCAATGTCTGTGCGATCCACCAACCTTCACCATGACGAGGGTGAAATGCACCCCCCCAAGCCCCCCAACGAGATGCTACAGGAACACGAGAATCAGGAGCATGAGCAAGAGCGGCAATGTCGTCATCATTGAGATCGTGAGAATCTTCTCCACCATCTGTATCAGTATAATTAGCAGATTGAATCAGTATGAGCCTTTTCAGCAAAAGCGTCCGCAACAACACAACGATCATCATCGGAAGCTTCAGCCACGGAAGCATCGTCGTCACCATCATCAGCAGCACCATGGGGGCGAATTTTGACTTAAACCAAGAACACCATAGGGACGGTGAACTTGCCGAGCTGTTTGTTTTAAACATTTTTTTTGCTGCCAGTCTAATCGGGGTGAACCTTGCTGGCCACGGTCAACCTGTGGTGGTTCCCAGGTCTAATACTGGTAGGAACCTCCTGGTTACACCACCAGCCCACAGGGGATTATTGTGTCCGTCCGTCCGTCGTGCATCCAAAAATGGGAGGGGTGGGGCTGGGTGAAGAGGGGAGGGTGGGGAGGGAGGGGCTGGATGGAAAGGGGAGGGTGGGGAGGGGCTGGGTGGGGAGGGGAGGGGCTGGGTGGGGAGGGGAGGGGCTGGGTGGGGAGAGTGGGGAGGGGCTGGGTGGGGAGGATGGAGAGGGTGGGGCTGGGTGGGGGGTGGGAGGGGTGGGGCTGGGTGGGGAGGGGCTGGGTGGGGAGGGTGAGGCTGGGTAGGGAGGGGCTGGTCACCCCGTGGTGCCCTTATAAAACTCAACGTTTCACCTACTCACGCCGGCTTGTGCCCGCCCTCACAGTCGGGCATATTTGCGGAATACACCACGTGGTGGTGCCGCCGTTGACCCTGGCCATTGACCGAGCAACCCAACGTTCCTACCAGCTCCCTCCGCAGGAGAATGTGTTCAAATGTCTCTCGCGCGGTGGGAATCAAGGGGGAGGATAACAGTGTTCACGATGGTGGGATGGCACGAGTTCTCTCTCTCGGTGCCAGTTGCACATCTCCGTCGCCAGGGGGCGAGACCAGCCTTCTCGCTGGAGGCAGTGTACCCTTTTCTGGCAGAGTTGTGTTAAGGGTCCCGTTCATAAATGACGTCACGCGATTTTGGACGATTTTTTGACCCCCCCCCCCCCCGTCACACGGCGTTACAGAAAGTCAGACCCCCGCCTCAAATATGGCGTCACAAAGATCTGCCCCCCCACCCCCCCAAAACCATATTTACATTTTGAAAATATAACATGCTTCGAATCGCTTTAAGCTATTGTCATTGTAGTGCGTATTTAATGTGGCGTTATAACAATTCTATATTTATTTAAAGTTGCGCATTTTGATGTGACGTCGCATTTCTCAAACCTCTCCCTCTCCTCGTCACACATCGTCACAAATGTCTGACCCCCCCCCCCCCCCCCCCCCCCAGGTGCGTGACTTCATTTATGGACGGCCCCTAAGATGTTCAAGCAACCAAATATAAACCTCTTGCAAGGAATCAAGCGCTGCATGAACCACACGCGTCGCTCGTGGTGAACATGAAAACAAAACACGCTCTGATTTAATGAATGGCATTGTCTGTGAAACTCAGTGGCCTCCACCAGCGTCAGATCAGAGAACGCCGAGAGGCGACCAGTACAAAGACAATGCACCATCAGAGCACTGATAGCTCGCGGTG